GAATCCAAAAAACTTGTGACTTTCTGGAAGCCGACCTTTTAATGAATTGGCAACTTTTGGCAGAATTCTGCACCAAAAAATGTATAGAGGTTATTATTACACAAAGAAAACGCAAACTTAATGACATATCCACCAAAGTTATGAACCTCCGCCACACTATACAAGAGTCGTTTGGCACGTCGTGCTTTTTTGGTCCATGGATAACCAACCTAAACCACCACACTGCAGTCTATGAGAACAACACCATATGTTCGAAATCGAAAAAATTAACCAGAGATATTCTGGATTATAACCTAAATAGAGTCTTCCAGTGGAAACACAACCTCCATAAAATTCACAAACCTAAGCCAGTTCCCCTTTTATCCATACATCCCATACCTACGACTAGAATAATAGGCTTGTCGTGGGACGAGGACCACCTCAGATATATCTCTGGCCCGAGACTCATGAGCAACCTCAACAGAAATAACAATCCCATTCGGACAACACAGACAGTTCCCCCTGTGCCCCCCATTCCTATTCCCTTCTTGCCCACCAGCACTATAATAAGTAATACATCTGGTTCAACAATAGTGCGAACCCAGACTGCTGAGGTTCCGATGGTCCCTACAGATCCATCTGGAGACCACCACACCTCTTCTACCATGACACTCGACAACTCACCGGTACATTTTTTAGACCTGGGACCCATTCACCCCCCAAAAATAAAAAGAAAGGCACGAGAAGAGGAAACTATAGCCAAAATTCCAAAAAAAGAACCAATCTCATCGGACCCTCTACAATAAAAATATTCAATCTTTCCGATCACATACTAAATCAAAGTGAAACATCTTTACTCAAAAAAGGTCTGAATTTTGCCCCGGATGCCAGACCTGATTCTTTTACCTTATTTAAGGATCTTAATAAATGTATTAGACTGCTGATCCTAAGGAGACATTACACTAATAAACCGACTACCTCTAGTGACTCGATCGGCCCTAGCAGCCCAAATCACATTGCTTTGCTAGACATTTTTGACGAACAGGATGGTGACGTCCTCAACGCCCTATATGAATTAGTGGACCTCAATTCTTCATTGACAATTGACTTTGAGAGCCTTATCAACCCCAAGGTCACCCATACTTCCCTTGTACCGAAATCCACTTTCTTCCCTGTTCAGTCCAAAGGCCCTTTTATTGAAACATTTTACCACGTCGTTTACGCTGATCTACTAGAGATATGCAAAAAAGCCAAGCACCAACCTAATTTGACTACTTTGGAAAATAAGGCTCTTCAAAACCTTATTTCCAACAATGATATTGTCATCAAACAGGCAGATAAGGGAGGCGGGATTGTGATGCAAAACAAGTCCACCTACATAAATGAAGCTCATAGACTACTTGCTGATAATACTACTTATGCACTCCTCCCATCAGATCCCCTAACATCTTTTTCTAATGAATTGGCCAATCTCATCAACCCAGCGTTTACCAATAAAATTATCAACAAAAAAGAAAAAGCCTTTTTAAATCCCAAATTTCCAAGTACACCCTACTTTTACCATCTACCAAAAATTCATAAAGACAGCAATAACCCCCCTGGACGTCCTATTATTGCTAGTACTAATAGTCTTACTAGCGGCCTTTCCATCTACATTGACCAGTTCCTGCAACCGATAGTACAGACCCTCCCATCTTACATAAAGGATTCTGGCCACCTTATTCAAACTCTATCCAACTATAAATGGTACCCCTCCTACAGTTGGGTCTCCCTAGATGTCAGTTCTCTATATACTTCCATCCCCCACTCAATTGGTCTCAATGCCCTTCAGTTTTTTCTGGCCAAATCTTCTATCAATAACACTCAAGTGCAGTTCCTTATAAATTGTACTGAGTTCACCCTGACGCACAATTACTTTTCGTTTTTAGGAAAATTTTATTTACAAACACAGGGGACAGCTATGGGGGCTAATTATGCCCCTAGCTATGCAAATCTTACCATGGGCCACTGGGAAACCCTGAACATCTGGAACAACAACCCATATGCCAAACACCTAATATTCTATGGCCGTTACATCGATGATATTTTGATCATTTGGGACGGCCCCCCAAATAGCGTGTCCTTATTCCTCAACCATTGTAACAACAATCAATTCGGATTAGCCTTCAACCATGAGGTCAACGCCACCAAATTAGTTTTCCTCGATCTTGAGTTGTCCTCCCTTGGGTGTGACATTATTACCAACAATCACGTGAAACCGACGGGAGGTAACTCATATCTCCATTTTGACAGCTGTCACCATCCCAGATATAAAAAGAACATTCCGAAGAGTCAGTTTTGCAGATTAAGGAGAAACTGCACCCAACAAGGTGACTACATTACATCTAGCCAGCTCCTCCTAGATAAGTTCAGAGAGAAAAACTATCCCAATGACATCATCACTGAAGCCTGTTCCTATTATGCCAATACCGAATCGAGCAAAAATCTCAGACACAAGTCCACCACCAGTGAACAAGACAAAATCAGATTCATCACCACTTTTAACAACAGTCACACTGTCATACAACGAGCACTCCGGAAAAATTGGCATATATAGCAGAAAGATCCCAAGTTGGGCCCAACCTTACCATCTAAACCGTCCATTAATTTTAAGAAATCTAGGAATATCAAAAATATGATAGGACCCAGCCGTAAGTTCCAGGGCGCTGATGCCCGTCCCAGACATTTCGTGTTTGATAATAGGGTTGAGATCTTTCAGTGTAGGAAACCCTGCCTGGCCAGCTGAGTTCACGCTGTTCATACGATCACCCCTGACAGTCCTCAGTTCGTTCCCCTGCACATTTTCCCGGCACTGTAGGACCAGCGGACACACGATATGCTGACAACAGTAACGTGAGTGGTTTCTTTACAGTAGTGGCGCTTTCTTATTGTGTGAATTTAGTTAATGACTCACTCCCCGGCTTCCTTATTGGCCAGGAAGCCGGCTCTATGCTCCCTCATCACCTGGTGACGAGGGAGCATGGAGGTAGCTTACTGGCCAATCAGGAAGCCAGGTGACTAATAAGGAAGCTGGTCAATCAAGGAGCAAGGCTGTGAGTCGTTACCCGCCCCCCGGCTTCCTGATTGCCCAGAAAGTTGGATTCATGCTTCCTTACTAGCATGGAGCTGGCTTCCCGGCCAATCAGGAAGCCGGGTGCTGTGTAATGACTCGCCTCCCCCTTCCTGATTCGTTGGGAGGTTGGCAAATCAGGAAGCCAGGCGGCGAGTCATTACCTGCCCCCCGGTTTCCTGATTGGCCAGAAAGCCGGCTCTATGCTTCCTCATCACCTGGTGATGAGTGAGCATAGAGACGGCTTCCCTACTAATTGGGAAGCCAGGTGGCAAGTCATTACACACCGCCCAGCTTCCTTAATGGGACTTCCGGTATCGGTATTCACGATCAGCGAGGACTGAAAAAAAATATATCGGTACTCGATACCGAAAAACCGGTATCGGTGCATACCTAATATAAATACTAGAAATTGAATGGGATTCCGTTACTCGGTAATTGGTATCGGCGAGTACCGAAAAAAAAAAATTATCGGTACTCGTACTCGGTACCAAAATACCGGTATCGGTGCATCCCTACTAGAAATAAATACAAACTGGTGACTTTGCCTTATTCTGTTATATTGATGACTTCAATTAGAACTCCAGGAAAATAAAAAATGTACCCTTGCAGTGGGGCTACAGAACTATGGTGGCTGTATCATCCTCCTCCATGCATCATACTGAGGCACCTTTCGGGATGTAACATCTTTTTGTGCATTATATGAAATTAGTGTTTTTACAATAGTGCTTTGAATTTGTAATGTCTACAATTTTTACAGAAATTCATGTAGGGACTTTGGTTTCATTTGAAAGCCCATGCTAAGTATCTCTACAGTCAGCTACTGTAGATCTGCCTGTATAGGACATCTGTTACTACTAATTAGCTTTCAGAGCTAAGATATCTGCATTGGATTGTGTTCTTCAGTGCTGACAGCTCCAGCACTCAATAAGGTACATATATTTCCAGGAGGTTAACATAAGGGTTGTAAAGTAGCCACCACTCCAAGCTTGCTCCTGTGATGGACTAGCGGTGGCTACTTTACAACACACACAGGGACCATGGGGAACAAAAGTAGCCACCCTCCAGAAGGAAGGACAATGTCAGCACCAATTCAGAGATGATTTGAGGATCTACAGCTGAGTGATACACAAATAAGTTACATTTTTGTTAATAGTTAACGTATTTGAACGTATTTTTATGATTTTACTACTGAGTTTAGTGTCACTTTAAGGGCTTATTCACACCAGATGCAGTGCGTTCCGGGCCCGATTCTGGACAGAATGCACTGCATCACATTGCGGCCGGCTCACTATGTTGTGGAGCAGGAGGGGGCGTGGCTGTCCATTGAAGTGAATGGCACCATAGCCACGCCTTCTGGCCGCAATGCGATTGGCCACACGGGATCGCAAGGCACATTATTGCTGCGGTCCGGTCCGATCAAAATAGTACTTGCAGCATTTTGTTCGGACAGGTATGGATGCGGCCTCTGACCATTTCCTGCAGCATGTCTGCACTTTGTGACCATTTAAGAGCATACTCATAGTCTTTGACCATCTCCTGTCAGGTATCTGCAGTCTCTGACAGCATTACATTCACTGGATATTATGTTTGGTCCTTTGGTGATGTCAGGGTAAACCCTTGGGGCCCCCTATACGAAGAAGGTTGACCACCACTGCTTTAAATTATCACAGGTTTCTAGATAGATTTTACCTAAAGTTATAGTTATATTGGCAAAGAATGTTTAAGAAAGTCTTCTCTGTGTACAATCTGCATGTGAATGGGCAATTGTAGCCAACAAAGTAAACAATAGTGGGAAATTTCCTGTTATAAGGAGAGGGAAGGGGTCCAAAACTCTGACATATTTTTAATTAAAGTAGTAAGACCATTGGTATGAAGCTCAGAATACATATAAATCTCATTGACATGATACCTGCACAAAGCTTGGCTCCTCAGTTGTGGTAACAGGAGCAGATGGTATCTCTAATTTTAGCCATGGTGGCTTCTTTCTCTGTAGACTGCTTGTGCTATCCCGACGAACTTCTGCCATCTTTGCCTTCTTGAGTCCTTTAACCTGTTAACAGGAAACAAAGTTCTAATATTAGATATGTCATCTGAGCTCAGCAAAGCGGTTATTGGAACAGGGTGTTTGATGCCAAGAACAATAGAAAACTCAAAAGTTCTCCTGAATGGTCCCTAACATTAAAGCTTAACCTAACACTTAGCCCTCTCCCAACCTGAACCTTAGGGAAAATTATTTTATGTCAGCTGTAATTTGTTTTTAAACTGAAATGTATTACTTAAGAGACAAATATCTTATATTTTAAGAGACAAATTCGAGATGCAGGTTTGAGAGGTCGAGAGGCAATGAGGAAGCCATTGCTTAAACGGCAAAATAGGAAAAAGAAGTGTGCTGAGCCAAGAATAACCACCAGTGGACAGTCTATAAAACAGGGTATACACTGAGTGGCCAGATTATTATGACCACCTGACGTTTGTAGGCAAATTAGCTATAAATTAGCTATCATTTTGCGCTGAAGTTGCTAGAGGGCCAGACCATTATAAATAGGGAAGCAGGTTGTTTACCACGACAGTAGAAGTTAGACATGTGCACTGCCAAAAAATTCGTTTAGTTTCGTTTTAAATTCGGATTTGTGTTATTTCGTTTTTCGGGATTCGGGTGTGAAAGTCAATTCGGATTCGGAATTCGGACGAAATTCGGTAGCGGTATTCCGAACGTTCGTTTCGTTTTCTGTTCTTATTCGTTTCTTATTCGTTTCGTTCGTTTGCAGCAAAGTGACATTTGAGGGGGAAAAAATATTTTTCTCCTTCTCTAATGTCACTTTGCTCCAACGAACTAAACGAATAAGAAACGAATAAGAAACGAATAAGAACAGAAAACGAAACGAACGTTCGAACTACCGCTACCGAATTTTGGAAATGGAAATTCGGATTCGTTTGCATTCGTTATGTCTGTAATTCGGAATTCGGATACATCCGAATGTCCGAATTTCCGAAAATTCATCCGAATTTCGATTCGGAACGAAACGAATCGCACATGTCTAGTAGTACGGGTAAACAACGCGATTTAGCAGCCTTTGAACGTGGGATGATTGTTTGCGCTCTGAGCCATGGAGCGAGTATCAGCAAAACAGCAGAATTCGTGAAATGTTCAAGAGGGGCTCATTGTTAAAGTGTTTAAAGACTGGACTGTCAGCCGAAAATGTGGGTCTGAACGTGCGAATTGTGGCCGTCAGCGACTAGTCAATGTTAGGGTAGAATGGAGAGTGACAAGACTGGTACAAGACAACAGAAGGGCAACAGTGCAGTGTCAGATTCCTCGCATCACCTTTCAACATCTCGCGGAATCACGAGGCGGCCCAACGAAGTACTGATGGGGTGGTCATAATAATCTGGCCACTCAGTGTATATTGTTCACTAGGTGAAAGCTTGGTGTGTGACACCAACTGTAAAACATTGAGGAGGAAGCGTGATAGCCTGGTATTCTTTTGCTGGATGCAGAAACTTGGCACCCTGATCCAAAAGGCTTACCACAGCATTTTGTAGTGCCATGCAATACCCTCTGGTTTATGCCTAGTTGATCAGGGCTTCATCCTACAGTAAGATAATGACCCAAAATATACTTCCAGGCTATGTCAGAACTACCTAAATAAACAAGACAGTGGCTTTAAATTGTATAGTGTGAAGCACAGTCTTCAGATTTCAATCCCATTAATCGAGTTAGTCTACAAATGTCACTAATTAAAGAAGAACTCTGGGCACAATTATTCTTAACCCTTGCAGTGGGGCTACCCCCAACTGCAAGGGTTACATGCTCGTTTTTGTCTAGGGGTGAAAATAAAAAAGATATACTCACCTGAACCTTGGATCCGGCTGAGTGTTAGACCGGAAAATGAAATACAGCTAAAGGTATGTGGATGTCATTACAGAAACTGCATGAGCGTTCAAACCTAAACAGTAAACTATATCTGCTATGCAAGCTATATAAAATGAGGCTAGAAAAAGGCCAGGGAATGTGTGAACACGTGAATGCCATGCTAGAAATCATAGAACAACTACGTGCAATTAGAGAGGAAATTAAAGATAACCATGTGGTGGCATTACTGCTATGCAGCCTTCCAGAGTCATAGAGTGCTCATATTAACACTCAAGAAACCAGACCTGAGCAGGAACTAACACTAGAATACACAAAAGGAAAATTAATTGATGAATATGACAGAAAGAAAGACTGACATGATGTAGAATTCATTTCTACAATAACAAATGCCTTCCACAGATCAAGCCCCTGCTGCAGCCCCTCATCTTATGACTTGCTAAAAAGTTACAATGTTACAGTCTCTTACTGGAGGAGAGGAAACTGATGTTCTAATGTTCAAGGACTGCTTTTTAATAATAAAAGGTAAAGCTTTTGGAAAAAAAATATTATACTGTTATTATATATTGTGAAATGTCAGGAATGTATTCATGCAAACCTGAAAGGTCCAGTTTAAAGAACTACCAATAGGTATTTTAAAAACAAAAAGTAGTTAACATATTTGTGTCCTTGTAGCAAATTTCACAGTTATACAGTATCAGGAGCATGTCATTTACACTAGTGGCTAAAATTGTGAACACGTTTGACAAATGTAAGGTTTAATTTGAAGTGATATATTTATTATAAAAAGTGCTTAACTCATCATGTTATATATCATATCATTCCAAATGTATTGCTGAATACAATGTTATACTATTTAATATCATATATATTCAAACAGTGATGATAAATGTTTTATGTACAAAAATGTCAATATCTGGTTAGGTAGCCTCTAGAAACAATACATTCTTCTTTTTTTTTTAAACTTTCCAACACTACCCTTTAGTCTATCCCAAAGGTTTTCAATGGGGATTAGGTGCGGGCTGTTTGAAGGAAATCTGATGGAATGAAAACAAATCCTTACAGCCTTGGTAGTATGGCAAGGAACATTATCTTGCTGGAAATTAAATTCCTGTGAAGTGTGAGGGAATAACTCAGCTGCAGAAGGAAGAAGGTTTGGTTGTAACATTGGTAGGGTGACTATACTTGCAACAAAATCTGTAGTAAGGAAACTCACAATGAGGTATGAAGAAGCAGAAAGAAGGTGACTACACCAAATGATGACAGGAGAATCAAAAGACTGGTTTTGGAAGAGAGGAGAACATCAGGTGACATCAAAGAGCTTCTTCAAACCAGTGGTGTGCCAGTAAGTCAAACAATTGGAAGGTGACTATGGGAGAAAAGAAAAGAGAAGGGCGCCCACCCTAGTGTAGATGGTTTTTAATAATGTGAGCTAAAGTACAAGGTAAAAACATACTCACAAAGGAGAATCAGTAAAATCATATGAGATGAGCCAGAACGATATCTGAATATCAGCTGCACAGATGCCTGTGTATCAACACAGGACTCCTTTTGATAATTTAATTGGAAGGTGACTATTCCATGCTGGATTGAAAGCAAAAATACCAAAGAAAAAGCAATATTTGAATGTTACTCAGAGAGATGTGTTTTGCAGGCCAAAGAACATCTTCACTGGACAGTTAAGACTAAAATCAGGTAATCTAAAGTGATAAAACTAAAATATCATTGATGGTAAAATGGTGCAAAATATGTCTGCTGAAGGGTAGGTGCAGACCTGCTCCCAGAGCATTTTGCTCTGGGGTTGCATGTCTAGTCATGCTGTGGACTGTATTTGGCTTTTAGTAGGGAAGTAAGAAAACAAATCCTTTACGGCCTTGGCAGTACGGTAAGCAGCATTATCTTGCTAGAAAGGAAATTCCTGTGAAGTGTGATTGAATAACTCAGCTATGGAAGGAAGAAGTTTTGGTTGTAATATGAGCAGTGTGACAATATTTATGAAAAAACTGCAAATGACTTGGTGGAGGTGACAAAAAAAATCTGGTGTAAGGAAACTCATATTGAGGTTTGAGATTTGTGGAAATGTCCAAACTAAACCAGGAAGACCATACTGTAAATAAGGTAACTACCCCAAATGATGACAGGAAAAAAAAAATGGTTTTGGAAGACAGAAGAACATCAGGTGACATAAAAAGACTTTTACAAACTACTGGTGTGTCAGTAAATCAAAAAACTATTCCAAAGTGGCTATTTCATGTATTTCATGCCAGATTAAAAGCAAGAATACCAAGGAAGAAGCCTGTTTTGCAGGCAAAAGAACATCTTCTCTGGACAGCTAAAGACTAAATACATTTTTGGGAATGGTAATGTGAAATATGTCTGTCTGTGAAGACCTGCTTCCAACTATAACTGGTCAGTGGTATTCTGCATTGCATCGTATAATCATTATACAGCGCAATGTAGCATGGCACCAGCTATAGAGGACTACAAATCCCAGCAATAATAAATGATACAGCGCAATGAAGTATAACACCAGCTATAGAGGAATACATCAGATCCCAGCAATAATACATTATATACAGCTCAATGCAGAATACCAGCAGCTACAGAGGACTACAAATCACAGCAATAGTACATTATAGTATAATGTACTATTCCTCTATAGTTGCTGGTATTCTGCATTGCGCCGTATAATCATTATACAGCGCACTGCAGAATACTACCAGCTATAGAGGACTACAAATCCCAGCAATAATACATTATATACAGCGCAACACAGAATAGCACCAGCTACAGAGGACTACAAATCCCAGCAATAGTACATTATAGTATAATGTACTATTGCTGCGATTTGCTGTATTCCTCTATAGCTGCTGGTATTCTGCATTGCGACACTGTATAATGTACTATATTGCACACCACACTTTTTTTTTTACTTCCAACACGCCAAGCTTGCTCCCGTGATGGACTACAATCTCAATACAAACTAGTAGTCCATCACTGGAGCCTTTTTTTTTATCCGATTAATCGAACGTAATAATCGGCCAACTAATCGATTTATGAAAATAATCGTTAGCTGCAGCCCTACTCTGATGGCGTTATCGAATGTTCTGAGAAAAATTTTCATATGAACGTTCATATGAAAATCTATCGGTGTATAGCCAGCTTAAGACAATATTACA